GGGGCAGGGAAGTGGGACCGTGGTCCTGCCCTTGTGTTAGGCAGGAAAATAGACATGAGCGGGGTGGAAGGAGAAAAAGCCCAGAAAGTCCACTAGAACGACCCAAAGTTGATCAATCAAAGCTTAGAAAGCCTAGAGCAACTTGGCCTGGAATATTTGAATATTCCCCAGATGAAGGAAGGCTCCTCAGCAAAGCCCATGTCTTTGTTGTGCTAATCATGCAGGCCCAGCTTACTTTTTCACCTTTACCTTTGTGCTGTTTTTTTTCTCCTTCCGGCCCTAAGTAAGTAGTCTGTAACCTAGGCAACTAATTTCGCATGCAGGCCCAGCCGTAAACAACATGGTTAAAGTCTGGAAGGATTCCATCTTAAAGACTGTATTTTAATACCCAGTTAGGTTTAAGCTTCTTAACTTCCTCCTTAGCAAACAGACAATAACTCAGCCCACCTGGGGGCCGGGCAGGCAGCCTGTTTGATCTGCTCCCAGACCCAGGCGCCCGGTATCGCGAAATCAGAGCGGGAAGTTCCTTGTGTTAAATTAATTCCAAGGAGTCAAAGACCACTTAACAAGTCTGCACCCCCAGCCCTTAGTCACATTCCTAAAGAATCGTAAAAGAGGGAGCCCCCGGCCTTTCGGCACGTTCCTTTCTCTCGGGTCGCCCGCACTTTCTAGGTGGTATCCTTTTAACCTTTTCCAACCTTTCAGAGGGCGCTGCTCTCTCTGAGGTCACCCGCACTTTCCAAGTGTGTAACCTTTTAACTTTAAACTCTCTTTCCAACCTTTCAGGGGCGCCTCTTCTCTAGGGCAGCCCACAGTCCCCTTTCTCCAAATAAACTTCTCACTTAAACGGACTGTCTCTGCGCCTTTCCAGTACTAAGTGTTTTATTACCTTGCTTCGTCATTCTAATCCTCCTAATTCCGGCTTTACCCTCTGCTCTGTCCTATCTCAGGCAAGTAAGGAGGGGCTGCTGAGGGCTGCGACCTGGGCTTGCAAATGACCATTGCCTGGGTGGCCGGGAACTGCAGCTCAGTCATGCTCTTTAGAAACCTGCCTGAAAGCCTCCCTTCTTTACCTACAGGAAGTTTGCAGAACATGATCTCACTCCACCCAGTGCTCTGCGGCTCCCCCTAAGCCTGGGGTGGCGGGGACTCAGTTCCCACGCTGTGCAGATCCGAGCAGACGCTGGATGCCAGGTGGCCCTGGCTTAAGGAGTTAGCAGAGGTCATGCCCCATGCTGACTAGCTGTTCAATGAACTTCCTTTATTTAGTATTCTATTCTTTCAGTCAGTAACACTCTTACTTTAATGAATTGCTTCCTCACTTTGTCCTCTGACTTCCCTGCACTGCAGAATCAAACTCTTCCTAACAGTATCATCAATATTCTCCCCATATGGACCTCCAGCCTCTGACATCTGCCCCATGTTCTTCATGATCTGGAGGCAACGTCTTCTTGCCCAGGTACTGATGCCCTAGAACAGCGGCAGGGACAGGAACACCATCGGCGCTCAGAGACACGGGTTCCCTCACTAGACACTCCGGAGAGGTCTCCAGTGAGACCTCCTTGGATGCTGAAGCTGCACGGCCTCTACCCCAGTTGCCAGATGGGCGTTCTGGGAGCTCCGGGAGCATCTGCTGCACAGCCGTGCTGCAACTCGCATCTAGGGCCCCACATTCCCTTCTCTGCAAACAGCCCATGTCACTCTTTCCCCTTCCAGGCACCTTCTAAAACTCCCATTTCAGTACCTCTACAAAGTATGCTGGCAAACAAACGAAAAGAAAAGGTTACAATCCTGGGCTGACGCAAAGTCTCCCCTGAGCCAGATGGGAACTGAGTGTCCTAAAAACACTGAGGAGAGAACCATTCCCAGGTCTGACACACTTGGGTTCATGATCTAATGGGCCCACAGCAGCCCGAATGCAGGAGTTCCTGGGCTGCAAGAGACCCAGGGCATCAGGCCGCTGCAGGTTCTATGAAACCTGCCTAGGCCTGGTGGTCCCTGAGCATCCAGTGTGAAAATCTACCCCATCTTTCCTCATCCAGGAACAGGACCCAGTACAGGAAGCAAATCTGGCAGGAAGACTTGGGAGTGAGCAAACCGGAGCTTGCCACACACGTGTCCCTCACTAACACATGACCTCAGAATGTCAGCTGCTTACTGGGAACTGACCGCTGTAAGGTGGGAGGCACCGGAGGGAGGGGTGAGCACGTGGGACACTGATGACCTGCCAAAGTCCCTGACTGCTGCCCCCTCCCAACCTGAAAAATGTGCCTTAGGCTGGCCAATCCTCCCGCCGCTGTAAATCTAAGCTCTGCCTTCCCCCACCCTCTTTAAAAACTCACTGCCTGCCCTGCTGAGTGTGACTTTCCTGGCCTGTGACTAGCCAGACCAGGGAACATCGCCCGGCATTGTGCTCAAATAAACCGCCTGGCCCTTTGTTGCTTCTTGTCACCTGCTTATTTCGGCTAGAATTTATCTTACATTTCGTGCCAAAAACCGGGAAGGGGCTTGAGCGCAGGGCCCCAAATGGCCATCAGCAGCCCTACCCCCTCCTTCCCCGACCCGGGACCTCAGCCTGCTCTCCTCCGCGTGGACTATTTTCCGGTGAGTCCCTCAGTTTCCCCCGGTCTGTTTCCCTTCCTAACTCCGTTTCACCTGATCCGTCCGAAATCGTAGCTACGTCCAGGTCTTGGGCATCCAGCCCATCCGCTGTGGGCATCCGGGATACCTGCCCCTGGCCCTGCGGTGGGGGAGATGTCCCTCACCCAGGCTCCCAGGCCGTCTCCCCTGACTTGGGGCGCTCCTCTCAGCAGGATCAGTTGGGGAGTGGTGCAGACATGGGGAAACAGCCCTCAAAAGCGGAGGCTCAGACCCCACTGTGGTGTCTCATTTCTAATCGGGCTGCTCTATGTTTGTCCCGGGAAGTTTGCAAACGGAAGCTGGTCTTCCTTTGCTCTGAGGCCGGCCTCAGTGTCCCTCAGACAACCAATCTCGCTGGCCCCCCGAGGGAACTTTCGATTTTGGCCTCCTCACCGACTTGACTAATCATTGCCACCGGAGCGGAGAGTGGCGTGAAATCCCATTTGTGCAGGCTTTTTGGACTTTGCGCTCCTGCCCAGACCTTCATGTTAAGTGTTCACTGACCCAGATTCTCTGGCCCCATCTCCAGTCAAGGACTGTCAGCCTCCTACTCTGCCCGGTCCTTCTTCCCTTTCAGATCCGCCGGAGGCCCTCGGTCTCCCACCTCTCTCAGCTCACTACCCCCACCCCCTCCACCACCATCTGTAACTTCTTTGTCCTTCCCCGTGTCGCTGCCATCTTAAAGTCCTGCACTCCCAACCATGCCGCCTTCCTGCTCCTCTCCTCTTCTGGTGGCTGTACCCCCCTCCCCCTCTCATTCCGCCTTCCCCGCCCTCTTCCCCAACTGGAACCCGCCCCTCCCGCCCTCCGGCTCCGGAAGCCACAGACAGGACTCCTCCCAGCACAGACCTGCCTCCTTTCCCTCCCGACCCTGCTCCCCTCCCCACACCCGCTGTTTTGTAAGAGGTCTGGCGTGGTTGTTGACAGTGGGTGAGCTGAGCGTAGCAAGTGAACATCTTAGTGATTGTGTATTGCTGTGTGTGCCTGTCTGCAGCTTGAAAGTTTTTTGTGGTGACCTAGAATCTTAAAGTTTTGCTAAATTAAGTAGACATATTTTGTGCTTAGAGATTATGGTGTAAAGCACATGGTGTCAGGAATTATAAAGTGTGTTCATGAATTTGTTAATCTAAAGGATGCTAGTGCAATGCTTTACAATAGCCCACTTCTCAGTGTTCACTGAAAAGAAAAGTTCCTAATGGTTTTGGGGTCTAATTAAAGCTATTTAAAGAAGAAAACACCTCTACTTGCTAAAAAGATGTGTTTTAATAAGAGAAAGTATAAAGAATAGAAATTCGTTTTGTTGAGGGTAAAAGAAGGTAATTGTTCTAAAGTACAGCTATTTACTTAAAGAGGGAGAACACTGAATGTAAAAGGAAAGTTGTAGAAAGCTTGTAGAAGAATTTAATATGGTCATGCTACATAAAATTAAAGCAAATGAATCTCAGTATCAAGTACACAGCAAAATTAAAATTTTCTTTTCAGTTAAAAAGACAAAGTTCTCTTAACTGTTAGTCTGCTCTCAATGTTGAAAGATTGCAGAGTTCTTTAATTGTTTTATCAAAACAGTTTCTCATGCTTAAAATCTCAATGAGTTGTCTGAATATTTAAGATAATAAGATTTTAATATGAAAAAACTAAAAGCTAAGCTTTGCTAATAACTGTGTAACCTTCTGTATTTGCCTTTAAAATCTTTTACTGTCATTCTAGTTAAATAGATAAGTATTGTTTTATAGTAACTTATGATTCTATTTAGACACATGTAAAAAAAAAAAAAAACTTTAACAACTTCCTGAAATCAAACTCAAAAAGGTGCTTTTACCTGTACTTAACTCTGATATTTTCCAGAGGGCCCCTGGAACATGTCGGAGGAATTTTTTCTCATTAGAGAAAGTATTTGGCCAATTTGGCTTATTTATCTGATATATAATTACCTGCTTAATTACCTAGAAAGCACTGTCAAAGGGAATAATGCTAAACTTTGTTACTGAATGTTTTGTGTTAGAGAAATATCTGAATTTCCTTATGTCAACCATCTTACAGTAAGCTCTCATCAGACCTTTAACCATTGTCATTTGTCTTTTGTCATTTATAGTCACTGTTTTATTACTCCTAAACTAGTAAAGAACTAGATTTCACCAGAACAAGTATTAGTTACACAGGAAGTAAGTAAAAGCAGAAGAGGGACCCCAAATTCCACCCCATGACCTGGTAACCATGACCTTTAAAGTCTTTAATACCCGTGATGAAGAAAATGAGAAAAGGACAGTGTCTCAAACCCAACCCTTCACGGCGGCCCTGTGGCCGGCAGGACAGGGGTCTCATCACACCAAAGACCAGTCTGGAGCTTGTGAGCCTCCAGGACGCTGCTTCCGGTGTGGCCAAGAAGACCACTGGGCAAAGAGATGCCCCAGCCTGACCAAAAAGCTGACTAAACCCTGCGCAGTTGGCAGTAAGAGAAGTCATTGGAAAGTAGAGTGCCCAGTTGGGGAAGGTCATCCCCCCATGACAGAGTCTCGTGGGAGGCAGGCCCCCCTGAGGGACTCCCCTCCAGACCTGCTGGGCCTACTCGAAAAATGAAGATGCCCAGACTCAAACACCTCTATCACCCTTGCCGAGCTCAGGACCACGCTGTGGGTAGCAGGTAAGTCCATCTCCTTTTTGGTGGACACAGAGGCTGCCTACTCTGTTTTACCTTCCTTTCATGGGCGTTTACATCCTCCCCAGGTCTCGGTCGAGGGTGTCACGGGAACCCCCTCTAAGCCTCTAGAGACAGGTCCGGTAGCCTACACGTTTGAGAGCCATCTTCTTACCCACTCATTTCTAGTCATCCCGTACTGTCCCTTCCCTTTGTTAGGGAGAGATCTACTCCCCAAGCTTGGTGCCTCTATCTCCCTGCCTCTTAGTCATCCCCAACTGAGCTCACTCATCATCTTAGCCAATATAAGTTGTAGCCCTGAGCCCTCCACTGACCCTCCTGTACAGTTGACCAGTGTTAACCCGATAGTCTGAGACACCTCTACCCCTGTAGTGTCGAGCCATCATGCTCCAGTCCTCATCCGCCTCAAAGACCCATGCTCCTCTCCTTCTAGACCCCTATTTCCTATTTCCCAAGCCCATTGCAAGAGCATCCTACCTATCATTAACCATCTTCTTTCTCAAAGGCTTCTGGTACCAACTAATTCTCCCTGTAACACTCCAATCCTTCCAGTCAAGAAGCCATCGGGGGCCTACCAACTTGTTCAAGACCTGCAAATAATCAATGAAGCTGCAGTCCCTCTTCACCTGGTCATCCCTAACCCTTATACTCTCTTATCTCAAGTTCCCCCAAACACCTCTCTTACCTACCTTACTTCTCACTCCTAAGAAAGATACCCCCTTGTTCTGCCCAATGCTCATCTTTCCATTCTTTGATCCAGGCTGCCTGCTACGAACAAGCCTCAGTCTGTCTCTCGTCCAGACTACAGTACTAGACGGGGGAAAGCCTGAGTGATCATGCTAGATATATCTGTCCTGAGAGATGAAGACAACATATCTGCTAGAAGCTCTGGCCACCGATAGAGAGGTCAGACAGTAGAAGTGCACAAGACCATGTGGGTACATCAGTACTCACCCCTTCCCTCTGGCCTCCCACCAGCCTCAACCCTACCGACACCGCCCCTCCTCTGCCAGAAGTAGCCAGATAGAGTCAGCATCCTTTATAACCAAAAGGCTGGAATGTGAAGGCGGAGGCACCAGTGGGAGGGGGGAGTATGTTGGACACTGATGACGTGCCAAAGTCCCCAGCTGCTGCCCCCTTCCAACCTGAAAAATGTGCCTTATGCTAACCAATCCTCACGCTGCTGCAAATCTAAGCTCTGCCTCCCCCTACCTTCTTTTAAAAACTCACTGCCCGCCCTGCTGAGTGTGACTTCCCCAGCCTGTGACTTGCCATACCGGGGAACCTCACCCGGGATTGCGCTCAAATAAACTGCCTGGCCCTTTGTTGCCTCTCATCACCTGCTTCTTTCAGTTAGAATTTATCTTACACCCACCTTAATGACTCTAATACTAAAGTCTTTTTAAAAAGCTCTTCTCTCTTAAACCACAGAATTTCAGAATTTTAGGATAGCTTTAGTTCCCTTCTCCATTATCTTAACAGACCTGGGAAACCATTTTCACTCGACAAACAAGGAAAATAAGGTACAGACATTTGGAACCCACACACCCTCCAGGAAATAGGCAGTGCTGTAGTATCTGTTCCACAGCGAGAGGGGTGAGGGTCTTATACCATCAAATCCCCCTGGGCACATGGGGTCCTTCCCTGTGCTCTTCCTCTGAGGACATTCTGGAGCCATCATGGGCTAACAATCAGGTTTGCACCCCCAGAGGCAGGAAACACAGAGGAAGGGCAGTTTGGGGTATGGAGGTGTGGACAGAAACCCAGTATGAAAATTTTGCTTTGAAATACCTGTGAAGTGCAGAAGTGCACACCAGCAAAGGCAGCTGGGTATCTGGCCTGGAGTATGAAGTGAGCATGGGGTTCTGAAAAAATGGTCCATATGAAGCTCCTAGGACTGTCTTCCTTTCCCCCACCTCATCACACAACAAAGCCAGAGAAAATAGCGTATTTCATCAAATGCAAGTTGCCACTTCCCCAAGACAAATGACTGAAAAACAAAACAGCTCAAAAACTAACACGATACTAGGAGAGCACTGATTTTAACATGCACCAAAAATTCAGACATGTTACAAGATGGAAAAAAAGATGTATCTCAGAAGAGATGAAGTATGGAAGCATTTTCATTGGTTGGAGAAATTTAGACTGCAGTGAATACAGGGTAGACGTTTGTTTCTGTATCTTTTGATTCTGATGTAATCTCAAATTTATAGAAAAGTTCATTAGAAAACTGAAGAAACAAAACAGCAGCAGATTCACAGACTCCAAGAAGCTACTAGCAGTTACCAAAGGTGAGGGGTGGGAGAGGGCAGGCAGGGAGGGAGGGAGGGAGGGCATTGTGGGGTATCATAATTGGTGCACATGATGTGGGGGTGATCATGGGGAAGACAGTGCAGCACAGAGAAGACAAGTAGTGACTCTGTGGCATCTTACTACACTGATGGACAGTGACTGCAATGGGGCATGGGGGGGGCTTGGTAATATGGGTGAATGTTGTAACCACAATGTTTTTCATTTGAAATCTTCATAAGAGTGTATATCAATAATACCTTAATAAAAAAAGTTGCATTAAAACAGGACAAAGAATTCTCGAATAGTTGTTTCCCAGCTAACCTCACCAGCTGTTTTTACCCGGCATCGGGAAAATTTTCTCATCTTCTCTCCCCCTCTCACTCCTTCTTCCCCCATTTAAGACTGTTTCAGACTTTGTGCCATGTTATCCTCAGGACTTCAATATGTATTTCCTAACCCCAAGGGCATGGGCACAGACAATGATTAAATGTGGGAAATGAAGGCACACTACTATTGTCTAATCCATCACTGGCTTCCAATTTTGTCCACCATCCCAATAATGCCATTTCTAGCCATCTTCCCAGACCCAGTCCTGCCTCAAGCATTGTGTATATACAGTAGTTGGGCCCCTGGGTCCTGTCTCAGCTGCACACAGTCTCATGTTTCTTGGTGTGTTCTGATATTGAATATTTTGAAGGGCATAGAGGCCAGCTGTTGTCTAAAATGCCGCACAAATGGACACTACCTGAGGTGGGCACACAGGAGATGGAGGTGATGGTAGGAATACCGCTGGGCATGGTGTGTCCTTCTCAGGACCCCTTATCAGTGTTAGGCAGGAAAATAGATATGAGAGGGGTGGAAACAGAACAAGGTCAGTAAAGACCCCTAGGAAGGACTCAGTCAACCAGTTAAAACTAGAAAGTCAGAAAAGACTCAGAATTGAGGTTAATCAGTTATAGCTCAAAAGTCAAGAGCAACTTGGCCTTGAATGTTTGAATATTCCCCAGATAAAGAGAACTTAGATCATTGTAAGATTTACTCTAGGCTGCTAAAAGGCCCACCTATAAATACCATAATAAAGAGAGGGAGGTCCCACCTTAAAGCCAAAATTGCATTTTGAAAAAAAAAAAAACCCAGGAAGTTTAAAAAGAAAGAGTCTTAACATACTCTTTAGCAAACAAGTAACTCTGCCCAGCTTGGAGGAAGGGCAGACAGTGTAAACTGGTACGCTCCCACATGAGGAGGCTGCTATCTATTGGGTCCATGCAATCGACCTCCAAATAACCGGGAGATGCGTGGATGCAAAAGCAAGAGGGTTTATTGGGTGGCCAGCATGCTGGGGTCTCGCACTCGCAGGTGAAGACCCCAAAGTACAAGTTCATTCTTCTTTTATACACAGGAATGGGATCGTGTGCAGAGCGGGCCGTGCCCAGAGTGGACGTAGATATGACCTGACCTTTACTGCAATTGGTCTCAACTTGTTTTGGATTGGTTCCTTCTAGTTGGAGGGATACTCTTGACTGCCGGGTGGGCGAGTTGTCTACATTCTATTGGCTGGGAGCATCTGGCCAGCTTTTGTAACTGTGTTGGTTAAATTCTTGTAACTCTTGTAACTTCTTGATGTGACCTGTCTCTTACAAAATGAGGTCACTTTATAAAATGGAGTAGCTTATATCAAGACTCTTTAGTCAGGACTCCTCATTCCCCCCTTGAGTTTTATTCTATTTCAAATCTTTGAAGTAACGGAATAGGGTCTTCCTTTCTGAAGGGCCTGTACTGAGATCTCAGGACCATGAGTTGGATGGTGGAGATCCGTTTCTGTACAAATTTGAGGAGGGCATTGATAAGGCAGGCGCCACATGTAAGAGCCAGTATCAGAAGTAAGAGGGGGCCTGCTACTGCTGATAATAAAGTTGTTAGCCAAGGGGGCCAACTGAAAAGGCTTTCATACCAGTTTTGGGTGGCTGCTCTATTTCTCAGCTGGCTTTGAATTCTAGTTTTTAGTTCAGTCAAAGAATTTTGAGTAACACCTCAGTGGTTGGTATAGAAGCAACACTGTCCTCCTAAGGCCACACACAGTCCTCCTTGTTGCAAGAGCAGTAAGTCATGTCCTCTCTATTTTGTAGTACAACCTCTGCTAGGGAGGACAAAGACTCTTCTAGCCGGGCTAGAGTAAGATCTACTGTTTGGAAATCATGGTTGCTAGCATCACTGAGGGCTTTGTAATTTTTATCTTGGAGAACTAGAGATGCTATGCCTGTACCAGCACCAGCCAGACCGGCCCCCAAAATGGCAGAGGCTACTATGGTGGAAATAATTTCTCATTTTTGCCTGCTTTGACTCTTTTGACTTAGGGAATAGCTATCAATTATTTAATCTTCACCATGCACTACTATCCGGGTAATGAGTTGCACGAGAATGCAGACATCGTCATGAGTTCTAAGGGTGTCAGCATGGATACAAGCAGTTATTCCCGTTTTACAGGCCCACCAAGTGTTGGGAGGGGCTACTAGGTATGATTGGATCTTGAAAGTAACATTAAGGGTCTGGCTACATAAGTGAGGGTGAGGAGGCAGTCGGTTGGTGGCAACACAAAGGCCTTGCCCTGTGAGGGCCTGTAGGGTAACTCTAGGAGCACGCTCAAAACTCCCTTGGGACCACCCGCATTTGGAGGAGTCTGTCTCAGTAGAGAAATTGCCTACTAGAGCAATGCCATCATAGAAAAGGGGTCTGGAGTCTAGGCAAAGCCAGCAGGATTGGGTTACTTCTGGTTTGGAGATATTTAATACCTGATAAATGGCCTCTACTAGGCAGAAGGACTGGGTCCAGTTAGGGACGGGGAGGGGGTTAAGTGGCATAGCTTCGAATCTGACCTTGGATCTGTCCTAGGCGAAGGGTAGGTAGGTCTAGCGGTAGATTTCTGAGGTTTCTCGGGGAGTGGAGGAGGCTGAGGTTCCTCCGGGAGTGGGGGAGGAGGAGGCACTGGGTTTGGTCCCCAAGTGACTGGTAGTTTATTCAAGAGTGGGGCCTCCCAGAGCATAATCGTACAAAGAGCTCTGGGGTCTGCTCCCTTTGCATAAAAGCCAAGGCCCCTGACTTCCATTCTTCCCACTTAGTTTTTCCTACGGAGGTGAGGTGAACGCAGATTGGGTTACAGTCTGGGTTACTCCAGCAGGTAGGTCCCTCAGACTGGCTAACCTGCATCCAATCACCTTGTACAGAGGGTCTCCAATCTAACGTACCCATAGACTCACAGCCCCAGACAGCACAGAAGAAGGGTTCTGGGCCCCCACATTTAGCCTGCTGAGACTGACTTCGGCTATGTCCGGACAGACATAGAAATTGCGTTGACATGTCAGGTCTCAGTACCCTGGGGTCCTACACCCTATCCCTTGGGTTGGGCGTGGGTACTTGGGGTCCCCTCTTAAGCCCCAGTTTGTCCCAAACAACTTACAAACATTGAAGTACAGATCGGGGAACCATGACTTAGGGTGTCCTTCTTGTTCTGTAGAGTTGATAATGTCTCCAGTCTTGGACTTGGCAATGATCCACTCAAGTTTCCTTGGAAGTGGGGACTCCCAGCCACCATTAGTTCCAGGGCTAAAGCCTGGGGAACCAGAAGCGGCCACATGTCGGGTAATTTTTACTTTCAGAGGGTCAATCAGATGGGCTCGAATTATCCATGTAGACTCGATCTCTAGGAGCGGCCTTGACCTGAGTGTGATGGATCCATGCTGCTATCCCGTCAACTTTGATCGCCATGGGAGTTGCTAGGATGACTGTGTGAGGTCCTTTCCAGTGTGGCTCTAAGGTTTCTTTTCAATGCCTTTTGATCAGTACCAAGTTTCCAGGTTGGAAATTGTGGGGGCTCCGGGGGAGGCTTGGAGTACACCGCCTGTAAGTTCTGATGTAAGGCTTCTTGGACTTGAAACAAAGCTTGTAGGGAGAAAAGAAAGTTTTTTTTTTTAACGTTTTGTTCAGTTAACAGATCAGCTCGCAAATTGGGAAGGATCAGGGGAGGCCTGCCAAACA